ACTAGAAATGTGACCTCTCTTTCCATCAGAATAAGATTTAATTGGGTAGGCTGTTATGGCCTGACAATTTCCTCCTGTCTGTTTATGTGTGGAACAGAGAACTGGGGAACTTCACACAATTGGATAAGTTGGGATATACAGTGTAAGGCTTTTCTTTTATTTGCATCTGTGATATTTTATAAAAACTCTACTTTGCAGTGTGTATCATTTATTTTAGTTGATTATATTTGAAATGGGCAGTTGGAATGCAACTGATGCATCGGATGGTAATGTGCCATGACCCTACATATTATACTTTCTAAGCAAAACAAAACAAACTCCATTTGGCATTCTAGAATTTAGATCGTGTGGGTACCTACCACAGGCCCTGAAACAGCAGCTTTGTAGTAATCTTGCCGCAGAATTACAAGGGTATTTTCTCTTTACTCCAGTGTAGTCTGATGCTATAGAATAATGGAGTGAAATATTTAGTTTTATATGAAGTCAGCTTTCAGATTTTATTTTTATTTTCCTTTTTAAAAAGCTTTCCAGGTCCTCAGCACTAAGCAGTACTCTTTTTATCATGGGTGGTTCTGAGCAAGTGGCCACCACTGGATTAGGTGGTCTTGTGTGCAGGTGGCCTGGCCAGGCCATTTGGTGACCTGGTACCCCTACATATGTGTGTGTCTTTCCTGGAACAAGTACTTGTGTGCAAAGCTGGATGAGAGTTGATGAAATGAGTAGCCCATAGTGATGTTCCTTCTCCTATGATATTAGCTGCTGTTGCTTCTTTCACATAATCAGATTTACATTCTGTTAATGGGTCCTTTAAAAATGTAATCAAGTGAGAAGGAATTTTAAAGATTTTTCTATGACCTGGATACACATCAGAAGCCTGGAAAGTATTCATTCACTAAAATGAAATTGTAAGCTTCATCCAAGCAAAGGTTCCCTTGGAAAATTCAAAGAGGTGGGCTTAGGGAAGGGGAAATTCTGCCTGGATTCTCCATGTATTCTTGTGATCACTGGTGCGTTTTAACTCATGAGACTCAAGTGATGGGAGTTATTTGGCTTCCACTCTGAATACCAGCAGTGGCGGACATTGATGGGAAGGGGAGTATGTTTCATGGTGACAACAGCATCATCGGTGGGGAATTTGCTATTAGTGAAAACCCAGTGCTTTCTTTGAGCCTGGGTGATTTATAAGGACCTGACATGCTTCTTCATTTGGAAAATAGTGTAATAGAATTGGTTTCCCAGGGAATAGTGCCTTTATTTTTATTTATTTTTTTTTACCAAGACTCATAACCAAATATTTTCACAAAAATGTTATAACCCCATACATGAGCATTCATTTTGAGATGTTTATTCCAATGGAGTTTAAAGATGAATGTGCTTTTAAAAACCACTATTTTTCATCTTCATTTGCAAAAGAAAAAATGTTATAAATGTTTCAAATAGACGTGTGGCTTTTGTATACAGCATCATAAAAAATGTCTCTAATTGCAGTGTTTGCTAATAAATCTACTTGCTTTCTGAAAATCATCCTAACACGTGTGTATGTGTGAACAGTGATAACTGTATAAGTTCACTTTTTATGTGGTGTTGCTGCAGCAATTTATCCTTCCGTTTTATATTCTTATATTTTTTCAAGGTTGGTCACTAACTGTGGGTTTACTGCAGAGGAAATAAAAACTGCATCATCGAATGGGCAAAATATGTACTGCATTTCTTGCATACTCATACCAAACTGCAGAGGTGCCTAGAGTTAATTATTGAGCTACTTAAAGGTAATATGCTGCTTTCACATGACCTTGCCACTGGCCAGAACGTATGCTACACCTTATAGCATGATCAGTTGACGCTCATTTATGAAACGGCATTATTTCTGATCTTTGCATCAGATAGCTGTTCACTTCTGTTAAATAAATTGGCAGCATGCTTAGCATACAGCACGTGTGCTAGTGATAGAAGTTTCATAGCTCAAAGAAGATGTGACCATGTGGAAAGCAACTGCTCTGATCTTTAGGTGACACTGCACCAACGAAACTGCCTTGGTTAGTAATCAAGTCAGATTTTACTTGCTGATAAAAATGTTCCCAAAGAATTGATCCACCAGTGGTGGGCTTGGTGAACGTGCCACGCTGTTACAAATAGCATGACATGGAAAAAAGTACATGGCCTCATTCTTGTTTCCTGTTCTTCCTCTCTTCTATGAAAGGCAAAAAACAAAACACATTTATTAGATGGTGTGTTTTTTTAGTTTTAATTAATGATTGTGTATCCTGGTTATGATATGCCTGCTGGGGTTCACCAAGGAAAATGCAGTGGCAAGGCAGCCCTCTTGGTACTGTTTGAAGATTGGAGTCTTTCAGCTTCCTGCTGGGCCATGGACTATGACACTATTTACACCTGAGAGTTCAGCCTCATCTCAGAGCTCCATGGCAATAGGTAACTCTTCTGCCCTGTAGGATGCACGGGAACATCTGTCCAAGCCCTTTCCAAGGTAGCAGCGTTTTTCCACACCTTGAATACCTCCCCTATCATACTCTTCTGCAGTTGGGGGAGGGTCTGAGTTTGAAGGAGCAGGTGCATAGGCCCTGGGACCTCTGCTGCTTAAGGTGAGTCACATACTTTTGTAGAGTGACCAGTGAGTGTCTCTGTAGCAAGAGGCCCTTCATGGTATCTTGGTGTCTATAGGACAGGACCTTTGAGGCAGCATTGTAGGTAGCTCGGAAATGATTATAGAATGGGACTTGGAATCCTCCCTCCAGCTCCCTCAGGAGGAGGCTGCGTCAGGCTTTCCATCCCTTTCTGCATGGATGCCTTGTGTTCAGCCCTTTCTTTTCCCTGAGGAACTTGTGAGGGTAGCAGGAGCCTCACTTCTAAGCCTACAGGGTCCCCACCCTGGCACATGTACTCTGTTGTTGCACATACTGGGAAAGGGTGTGGTGGCCTCTCCTCCTATAGGTGATGCAGCTGCCAGCCGCCTATGGAGATGGGTCAGGAGAGGCAGGTACACAGCCCAGCTGGGGTGCCTGTCTTCCACCGGGATGGAGGAGAAGAGAGGAAGAAGGTGGCCAATGCCCTGGGTGGCACCTGGTCGATGGAAGGTCTATGGAGAAGCTGCCTCCATCAGGCCATTGGAAGATTTGCTGTGGCAACACTGGATCGGGTTCATCATCTCCTCTGACCTTCTTTCAAAGTTAGACCTCAGTGAGACACATTCTGCTGTGAGCCTGTATGGTGCCCTGTGCACCCTAAAAAGTCACCCTGTATTCCTGGCGGCCAAAGCGTGTGGCAGGGTGCATGACTGGGCAAGCATTTCGGTCCCCTCACCAGGCCAGGCCAGCCTGGGTGGCAGTGCCTAGGCCACACGATGGTCTCATCTTCTGCACACCTGAGGACATGCCTTTCAGCCCAAACATTCTTCCTTTCTTAGATTCCTTTTATTTTCCCAATTCATTGAGGCCATGAAATAAGTTTAATAGCTGCATAAAACATCTTTGATTTTTTATTTAAAAATTAATAAAGAACTTAATGACACGTATAATAATTTAATCTCTATACGTAATGCCACGTGTACATCTACATGAGGGAACACTGTACGTTTTACCTTGGATTTGTATCAAAGTTTGTACTTGAATCTTTCCAAGAATCATCATGTTAGCGACACATTGCAATTAAACTATGAAATGATTTTGAAAATATCTTTTCTCTATTTTGAAGACACTTTTATTTCTAAGGAAGAATTAGTTTATCTTCGGAGGTTCATTTTTGACTCTGCAAATTAAAAAAAATTTTTTTTGTCTAGACTGGTTTGAAACAGTGACACTGTTTTGTATATTAAGATGTCCTTTTGTGTAGACAGATTTATAGAACTAATTGGAACAGTGCTAACACCCTTATTTCTATTCACTGAGATAGTTGGGGTTCTTAAAACATAAGGAGAGATAACATATTGCAAACATTTTTATAACTTCAGTTAAAAACAGTATAAAAACATGAAACACATTTTTAAATTTTGAGTCTACATGAAACAATTGCACTTCCTTCATGATGCAGGATCAACTTATTCATTGTTCTTGCACAAAAAAATATTTCTCAATTCTGTTAATTGATATTCAGGGATTTGAATCCTCATATAGTGTTTCCGCCAAAGTAGAGAGAGTGTGTGTGTTTGAAATTAAAGCATACATCTGCAGTATTGTTTGAGTTACCCCCAAAGAGTATTTATATAATATACTCTTCATTTTTTGCAAGTCCAGATCTGCTTACTGATCACTAGGTCCTTGTAGAATCAAAACAGTTAGAACTAAAATAGATTTGCTGTTGAGGGGGAAAATGCATGGCAAGAAATAGCTCCAATCTGGAAAAAGCAGGTTGAGATCCTTTTACCAAGGTTAGCCACTTTGTGTTTGGTATTTATTGAGTGAAGGGTGCATGTCAGCACTTGATTTGGTAGGAAATTGCTGGACAGAAACTTGAAGACTAGGTTTTCTTGTATGTTCATAAACTATTCAAAATTTAAGTTGTACAAAAAAAAGCAAACTAAGATCTCTACTTCCTATTGTGAAAACCAAAAAGTTGATAGACAAAGTCAGTAATAGACTAGGGGATTTTGGTTTCTATAAAAAGATACTTGCAAAGGTGCAAAGGAATGAGTGAAAAAATAAAGGAACTAAGATTTACCTTGCAATATGTAATCAAGAGAGAACTCTAAATGTTACCATTGATTTAAAAAATACCTAAAAACATTTGATTCACAGCTTTCCCCTAAGTATGTCATTTAGTACAACTTACTAATAGGTTAAACGTAAGCGACATTAAGTTTGTCCGATGGTAGCAGCTAAACTAAACACGCTGTTTCTCTTTGAGTTGGTCAGGTCTTCTGCCGTTGTTGCGAAGCATAAGCAATTGTGGAAACATCTGACAGTGGCGAACACTGTCTCAGGATTGATCCACAAACACACTTTCTGCCATGGCATAGGATGCCTGCGATTTACTGGTGACTGTGTTATCCATGGTGTATCTGTGTGTATTTTCAAATTCTTGCCAGAATTCATCATTTGGCCTTTGGGTACCAAAAGATTAAAAACCAGATCTAAGAAAGCTTAGTGTCCAATAGCTCTGACCCTGTCAACTTGCATTAATTAAAGGCATATCCTGACTTTGGGGGACTCCTGGCTGCTGGCCATTTGGAAGATGAGCAGTAAACATGTCCTAAGTCTGGAGATAAAGAGGATGCTAAATTTGAAGTGTCAATGTGACACTGAGATGTGGTCACTTGGCTTAGCGCTACAGCACATGAAGGCAAATATACATATAGTCACATGTTAGAGATTATTCATGGTCTCCGACCACTTGAAAAAATTGTGCTTTCTCCGGAATTTGATGTGCTGAAAATTGCACTCGCCCCCTGCTTATTTGCAAAATGAAACATAAAAATGAAGTCCTTTGCAAACATAAGGCTTGCTTTTTCTTCTCATTATTTAAAAAAAATAAAGGCTTGAAAATAACTATGAGTTTTAGCTGTGTACAGTGATACCTGCTGTTTTGCAGGTGATAAACGTATTATTTGCAGATCAGGAAGGGAATAGAATTTTTACTTATCATCTCTGACTACGTAAGTGTCACTTCAGATTTTACATCCCACATCAGGGAACTGCAAAGAACAGCTGGCAAGGAGTGACATTAAATACCTTGCTTCTGTTAGTTATCTGTTGGTACAAAGGCCTTTTTGGTACTCAGAGCGGGAAGTGGGTGGTGCCCACATGGGCACTCTAGTTCCCTCCATCCTATTCATTTTGGAAAAGGATTGACTGAACTCCAGTGGGTTTTAAAGACGGCCTTGAGACTCCAAACACCATGAGTTTTAAAGGAACCAGAGTTTCCATCTTCCATGCTTTTTAGATTCGGGTTTGGATTTTTGCTTGGGAGTGGAGGAACAAGTCTCCTGAGAGTAAGGCGAAGGTGCAACCTGAGTTTCCTCAATGGGATGGAGTTTTCTCAGAACTGGCTGGAGTTTGTCTTCTTGCTGCTTAAAATCCAGCTCCACACTAGAAAGAAAGGATACGAAAGAATTTAGTGTTTGATCTTTCCCATATAAAGACCCCACCTTAATGACAGCAAAATTCAGTGATCTCCTACCAGGGTCATGATCATTCATGGGTGATTCATGCTTATAATGTAATTTTATGGTATAATAATAAGCAATTGGCTTTTCTACGTTTTATCTCTAAGTCTCTATAAATATTTCAAATTGGCTCATTTTCTTTGGAAAATGACTTATTTGCTTCCATGGGTGACCCTTTAAAGTTTTGTTATGTACATAGTTGGTATCAAAGTATATAATGTATTTGTTGAAATGAAAAGTGTAAAATATGAATGACCTCATTGTTTGTCCATAGACTTCTCACATGTGCTTCATGGGATTAAATAGATCACCCAGAGCATGTGTGGGCTGAGATCATCTTAATGCACATATACCAGGTACATGCAAGCTCTCCTTTGTGCACTGTGTCACACGATCAGAGACATCTGTTTATCTCACATGAAACAATGGCAGTAGGAAATGGCCTTGGTTTATATTCTCCTTGCAAAATCTCATCCCTCTGAAAAACTGGTCAGAGCTGTAGTGCTTGATGCTGGGGAAAACAATGTGTTCACCGAGTCAACACCATTTAATGCTACTGAGTTGTCATCAAACAGTTTCCCAGGGAGAAACATGGATTGTATTCAGTAAAAACAACACTAAATTGTAATTACTTCCATTACAATTAGAGCTGAAGCCATAGTGTGTAAACACGTAGCCTCATGGAAGGACATTTGCCAGTAGTGATGGTGTTGTATTAGAAAGATGGGATTAAAGATGATTTTTAAAAATACATCTTCTTTCATACATTAATAACATTTCTTTTAAGGCCAACTTGCCTTGAGTCCTCCTTCCTCTCCATGCCTTTGAAAAGGACCATTTTCCCTTGTTCTTACTCCTAACAGGTTCCCATGGCATTTGGGGTAGCAGTCCCCAGCCACATGTTGTTTTTCATGAAAATCCCTCCATGCAGACTCTTGTCCCACCTCCTGCTCACTGCCGCCCTGCCGGGTATCCTGTGGTCTAGGCCAGGGTGCTACATCCTGCCAGGCCTGGGGAGAATTCTGCTCTGTCCTCCTCCTGTGTCTGGCCTGGATGCCAGACTAAATGTCAGTAGATTTCAGGAAAGGCTCAGCAATGATGATAATGCATGAGTTCATAACATTTCATATCCACTGGAACCGTAAACCATTTATAAACATGAAATCCTATTGATTTAGAGAACCATTAATCCGAGCCAAATTTTGACATTTTAGAAAGACAAAACAGCAAAGCCGTATTATCTGGAGTTCTAAAACAAGTTCAAGACCCATCTAATGGACCATTTGATGTTTTAAATCTACTCTTCCATTTTTCTTATTTGTCAAAGACTATAATATTACTCAAAAATTAAAAAAAAATTGTCAGAGAAGTTTATGGCCAGTTATGCCCTGCTCCTAAAATTAGAGTTATTCCCCCCCCCATTTCAAAGGGCATCTTTGAGTTATGCTGAAATTTATAGGAAGTAGAATAAAATTTTAGGAATTTAATTATATTTTGCTAATCCAGAATATATGATAATGGAGGCACAATCCCCCTTAAGGACAGTTGCCAAAAGTGCAGTCTGAGCATGTGCTCCCTGTATGAAATTCAAGCCCGAGTTCTGTGCTGTGGTGCAGGAGACAGAACATGGCATTTCCAACCCCTTCCCTTCCAGTTGATGCTGGGTGGGGAGTGGGGTTTCATTAAGCTTTAGTGTCATCCACTTCAAGGAGAGAGAGTAATTCCTATCCTGGCCGTCTCACTGACTTAAAGTAATGGTCTGTCCTTTTATCTGCCCTCCCTCCAAACAAAGTCCATGAAAGTATTTCCTAAACTATATGATGCAATTGAAATATTATTATTAGTATCTGATAATATCCTTATTATCTGTTGATTACTAATTTTATAATGGAAATAAGAGCTAACTAGTTAACCTATCTATTAGAGAATCCTTCAACTTAGACATTTAATAAGGAAAGGACAAGCTTTTCAATGGAGTCTGTGAATATCTGGCATGGCAGGTGCAAAGATGCTTGGCTAATATTGAAAGTGTACTGTCCAGATCACAACCACCTCAGCATTCCCAGATAGGTTTTGAGTTATTAGAATGGAGGGCACAAATGCTAGGATTGCCTAGGCTAACAGTACAGTTCTGGGTACCTGTAATTATTGAATTCCCATTAAGCAACTACACTGGGAATCCTGTTATTAACCAATTTATCACACCAAAGAACCATGTAATCACAAGGTAATCTAATCTGAGTTCTTGTTAACAGAACGACTCAACATTATCTGTTGATTCCTGTTTGTATGTCCCCATTACGCTGTACTGGGAAGCACAGCCAGGAGTGGGTTCTTTGGTGGGGACTTGTGTGAGCCTGTGAAATGCTGGCAGTGGGGCCACCCCACAGCCCCCAGTCTATAGCACAGGAGTTACATACAGTGCATCTGCTGTGGGTGACGGACGTGCCCCAGCCAGGTCTTGTGTGGAGGCACTTGCACTAGCTAGTTGGTAGGAATAACGTACGACGCTTGTACACTCCTTTCTACTGGGTGACATTTCTTGTTGGGGAAGGAGCACACCACATCCCTGGGTTGAGTCTGAAGCAGACAGTTGGCTGGAAACGGTGGTATCAGAAGGTTACTAGTCTGGCCAACTCCAGTGCTAAAGGACAAAAGTCCCTTTGGTCTATAGTCAAGTGGCCAGAAGAAAGCAACCACCTGCTATCCCGGTGCAGTGGAGGACTCAGACAAAGGCTGCTGGTGACATTTTGGGACGTTGCTACTCCCTTGCACACAGACCCCACTCCATGTTTAAGACGGAGACTTGTCCAGATAGGGCCTGGCCCTGCCTACTGAACGGTGGTGGCTCTGGCTTTGAGCTTCATGGCTGCCCAGCAGACATGTGGTGTGGGTGGTGGTCACCCCACCTGTGCCATGTCTTTGTCCCTCGCTACCTTCTTCATGGTGATTACTTTCCCCCAACCTGAAACACCCTTCCTGGCTTGTGGCATGGCTGGGCACTCTTTGTCTCACTGTTCCTTAGATACAAACACCATGCTCATTGGTGGACCTCCTTCCAAAAGACCACCTGTCATCCATCCATTCTTATTTCCTTCTCTGCGCTCACCATCGACAACTATTTTGTTTGTTTTCATGTTACTTTGCCTCCACCTTCCCAAATGCAGGTTGCCATGACATCATCCTGTCTCTGTCCCCAATAACTACATTAGGGCCTGAGTCACGGTGGTTGCCTAAATAATATTGCCAGAATTAATGAATGAGAACAGAGCCTGGGAAGACAAATTCTACCTCGGCTTAGTCCCGGCTGCCCAGCACTGCTTGGCTTTGGCCCATGACACTGTCATTGCTACCCTGTCCTCCTCCCACACCAAGGTCCCCTCCTTGCCACAGATAAAATGCTGCTCCCGGTGGCAGTGATGTTGGAACTACTCCAGGTGGAGTCTGTGGCCTGGTTCTATTCCATCAGAACTTAATCTAAGAGGATTTTGAAAATTATTTTGCCAAAACACCCCTGGATCTTTTTGGAGTTCAGCTCCTTGCCCCGAGTCCCTCCCCACCTTTTGTAGGATTCTGCAGTAAGATCTTGGTTAGGATGGTGGGGGGTCCCATCCTTGGATAAGCAGGGTGTGCTTGTGAGTGGCCAGCTGCTCCTGTTGCTGTGTCAGGGGGAACCTGGAGTGTTATTTCATTCCCTTTTCATTTTTCCTGTCAACCAGAGGAGGGCCTGGCCATTGTTTTCCAGGTGATGTTGCTTCTAAGTGCCATCAAAGCCACATACCTCCAACCATGTTGTTGGACCTGCCTTCCCAGGGTGGCACCAGCACAGAAGCTACAGGCACAGAGGCAGACAGGAAGTCTGGGCTCCAGACCGTAGGAGTCAGCTGGGGCTTTGCACAGCTCCCTGCAATCCCCTGGGTCTCACTGCCCACTCCCTGCCTGCAGGATCTGGCAGTTGTAATGCACTGGCAAGGGGACATGCACATCACGGTGAATGCTTAAGCAGCCTGGGAAAATTCCTGACTCTTGAGATTGAAAGCATGAGTCTAAAGGGGCTGGAGCCAGGCCAGCCTTACCTGTGTGAGGTGTGCTCTCCTCTTAAATGCCTGAGTCACACACAGGCTGCAGACTGTGCTGGGTAAGACGGAAAATGCCTGCGCTGCTGGAAGTTTGCAATTTACAAAGCCTGGAGAACTGTTATCATTTCCCTGTGCAGCTCTCCTTTCCCTACCCAGGTCTCCATTCTGCCTCCTGCCCAAGGAACTATCCAACAAAACACTTGTGCTACGAGCTCCACGTGCTCTGAACCTGTATTGCTACTGCACACTCCCTGTGACTCATTGTGGTGTGTGATTAAAGCAACTGAAGGTAGATTTAATTCTTAGGTTAGTCTTTTTCTCTTAAAAATGAGTTTTTAAGTATGTGGACTTTCTTACAATATTATTTTGCACATTTCCAAAGAAATAAGTATCTGCCCTAAATAAGTCTCCGGCTGTTCTGTCAGCCTGCACCCAAGCTTCATTTTCTTTCTGGAGACAGTGCCAGGCTCTGTAGTAACACTCCTCCCCACCGCTGCATGTGGTTTTACACAGCCGCGTCCTCCTTGCTTCTCCAGTTTATGCTGTTTGTCACATGCTCCTATAAATACTCAGGCCCTGCCACAGTTTTTTTAGCAAGCTGTCGCTGACTCCTCAAGTTAAAAAGGAATACATTTTGCAATGTCCCTTTATTCTTTCTTCAGTCCCCTGAGAGTAGCAGTAAAGAGTTAAAAGCAGGTGAGTTTGGCTCCCAAGTGCTTGTATTCTGGAGTGGAAGAAAGCTTGGAGCCTTTGATGCCTCCAGCCTCGACAGTGCTGCCTGGCTCACTGGACAGCAGATCAGAGGCCTCTTCTCTTAATTCTCTGTGCATTAGATCTCAGGGCC